ATAAGCAGCAGTCCTTCCAGTGCCTAGCAGGCTGCTCAACAAGACAAATACTTCCCTGTATACCCTTGGGCTTCTGACTTCTTGGGTCTTAGTTTCTTGGTTCCTACTTTTGATTCTTAGTTCCCCCCCATCTTGTCTCCCTGATCCTAGTGCCCTAGCTCCTGCTTGTTCCTGATTTCCTGTGCTCTGGGTCCAGCTCATTAACTGCCTAGCTTCATCCTTGTTCCTGGCCATGGGTTCCTGGCTCCAGCCTGCTGATTGCTTGTTCCAGACCTCAGCTGAGCCCACTGTGCTTCCACAAACTGCCTTGCCACCTCCTTGACCTCTTGGGCACAGACAGAAGTGACAATTTCCACCCAATCTGGCCTCTGAAAGTGTCCTACAGCCATGACCTAACAAGTGCACAGCTGCAGAGCATTTTAAAAGGGCCCAATCCCATGACAATCTGAATCCTCATTGCACACGGGTTCAAATGAAGGTGCTCCAAAATGGAGAGCCTTCATTAACTTGTATCTAAGTGAACCTGGAGCAGGGCTGGGCTGATGCAGTCCATAGGGAGCTTGTTTCTGGGGGGAGCTCAGCCAGCCCTGGAGGGTAAGATGGGTTGATTGGAGCCCCCTACCTGAGCTCCCCCAACTCCAGTGTAGGCTGGGAAAATCCCAAAATGGACCTCCCTCCCCTGCCTTCTCTGCCTCCAATCCTGAGACAGCACCGAAAACCTGGAAGAGGGGGAGACAGGGCAAGGAAAAGAGACTGCAGAGATCGGCTCCAAATTGGAGCTTGATCCTCCACCCTCCTGACCCAACAGCTAAAGTCTGTTGGGTTGGAAGGACTGATATAACTCATGGCACTTTCTGTGAAGCGCCATGAGTTAGACTGGGGAGCCACACTTCTGTCTGTGCCCCTTGTGCTCCAAACTCCAGTCCAGACCCATGTCCCCATGACTTAGCTTGCCTATCATCCATATCTCAGTCCCATACAGCTTTGGTTCCATGCTCCTAACCCCATGGCTAGTGATTCTGGTACAGTTCCCTGCCTCCTGTTCCTGACTCTATTCCTCTGGCTCATGGTTCTTCCCAGGCTCATGGTTCTACCACCTAAACTCATTTCCTACAGACCTCAGCCTCCTTGACCCACCTAGCCATGTATGTTCCTATCCCCTGGGCTGTGACCCTTTAGGGTTAAGTCCCAATCACCTACCCTGATAGGTACTTACACAATACCAGGATAGTGCCTTCCGTTCCTCCCTCACCATAACCTTTCTCCTGGGAACACCTCAGTGTTCTATTAATGCCTGCAATTTATGATAAAGGGGCCACAGATCCTTTGAACTGCCCATTTATTGACAACCTCCTTAAAACCATGTTGTTAAGTGAGTAAGACAAATAGATGAAGGGACATAAAGATATCTACGCTACCTTCTGGTCCATTAAAATTAAGTTTACCATGATCAGATAATCTGGGAAATGGGTTACAGAGTGCTTTGGCTCAATTCTTCCAGGTCAAGCAAATTCCCCATGTATAAACTGGTCAAAATTTTATTTTGCTCGGAGACAGAAATGAAACAAATTAATCAAGAATTATTTGATTTCACACAAGCAATCCCAGTGAAAGGGAGACGTTTAATTCTACATTACTGAATGCATACCCTTCTTGCAGACTGAACTCTCTGTGGGTTTACAGATTGCAGGGAGTATTAACTCAAGCATCATCTAAATATCCAGCTGATATTTTGTAACTGAAAGCATTTGTCATGTATTGTTTCACGTAAAATGTCAGTGTTGACAAAAAGTTGAGGCAGGCAGCACATGCATGCCTTAATGAAAGTAAGACATATGCTGTAACTACCAGGAGTCTGTATAGATTTCTCCTGGCAACAAGGAGATGTAAAGAACTTAGCTGTAAAAATCTAGGTCATGTAACATTTACCCAGCCAATTAACACAATATTTGACATTGGGCAATACTTTTTTCTCTTGCATACTAAAAAATAAAAAAAAATTATCAAACAAAAATATGAAAACAACCCTAAAGAAGAAAGGTCATGTTTGAAATCCATGTTCAAATACAACTTCAGCCAAAACCTGCTAAAATTCAGCACACTAGCACATGGTCTAAAGCTACTTGAATACTCTACAATTTATGCATCCATCCTATGATATCAAAACTGAGACTGGTGAGAAAAGAAAAATCATCATTTTAAATACTGGTACATTAGAGAAAACAATTTCAGAAGCTGTGTGTAATGATGACACGGAAAAACTGGGAATGTAAATTTTTGCATGTCCTCTTAAAAATCTTGATTGCAATCAGGCAAATTACAGATTTTGTGAGTACAGATTTACTTTATCTTGGCTTTCACTTCTCCCTAAATTCATACCAGTAAAGGAACAGTGAAGAAGATGACACTTTACTGGTAAAAGTATAAGTGGACAAAATATTTTTATACCATTCTGTAAAGGAAGTCTAATCAGAGGAAAACTGGTGAATTGGGAAAATTCTCTATTTCAGAGGCTCCATAATGAATAAGTTTACATGTTTACAGTGTTTTTGTAAACTGCAGAATAAGACAAAGGGAGGGAAGGGGGAAGAGAAAACATTTAGGTCTCAAGACATAGAAGCCACATCCTCCTAACCTGCTGCCCTTTTTTCTCACTGCTCTGTTAAACAGTCAGCTGCTGCCAGATGCTCTGGCTAAAAATGGTCACAGATGGTCAGTTGTCCAGTTAACAGAGAGAATGCTTTCCTCAGTCTCTCCCTAAAATGGTATCTGGGCTAGATGTAGCAGATGAGAAAATCTGATCATGGTCAAGAGGCCATTTGACCTAGTTAAGACTGCAGGTCAATTCTGATCATTTAGTCAAGATTAATTCTCCACTCTGGCCCTAAGTTAAAGTAGGCCATATTGACACAAAAAACCCGTGTCAAGCTCTACTGTGATTTTGCTGACACTACTACTGGTCACACCTTAAAAAAAAATCTGAAAGTCTGTTACATCTGCATATAGAAGCACTTTCAAGTGACTTGTAAATCTTTATGCCAAATTCTACATCAGAAGGCAGTAACACATTCTGACAGCAAGCCAGAATGACCCAGCTTGGGTCTGAGGTGGGCTACCACTAGGACCTAGATCAGGGATGGGCAAAATACAACCTGTGGGCAGGCACCCACCAATTAATTGTATCTTGCCCAGTCCATAGCTGCACTTGCATGGGGCCCGTGCCCTGCTCACTTCCACTGGGGCAACATGCTTTGCTCCAACCCTCATGTAAGGGAGAGCCCCAGCCCCAACCCCAGCCAGCACACAGCTTCCAGGTGGGGCCAACTGCTGCCGTGGGAACTGTTCAGCTCCCCCTCGTGTCCCTGCTGCAGCGCTCTGGGCAGCAGGTAGGGAAGTGCTGGTGGGCAAGGAGAAGCTGCAGCTGGGTGGGAGCACAGAGCCTGGGGCCTGCACCCAATGGGGTGACAGGAGCACAGAGCCCGAGTCCATTGTACGGGGCTCCCAGTGGCTCACATGCAGCTCCTGGGACTCGTGCCACTTGGGGGAAGCCCTGTGATGGAGCTGGTGGCCTTTGCTGCTCCCTGATACCACATGCAGCTCCCAGGACTCTGCTGGAAGTGGTGTGGACCCCACACAATGGAGCCAGGCCAGTTCCGCTCCCTGCTTCCCAGCAGTCCCAGGAGCTACACGTGGCAGCAGGGAGCGGGATCAGGCCTCCGGCTCCATTGCACGGGGCTCTCACCCACAGCACATGACTCTGGCCAGGTCCTGGGAGCTGCACATGATCTAGAGAGCCCCACAAGATGGAGGTGGGCTGGCCAGGACCCACTCTATACCATCATGTACAGCTCCCAGAAAATGGCTGGAGCTGCGTGCCACCAGGGGGCTCCACCTTCGCAGGCCATGAACACCCAGAGGGCCTGCCCCCACTGCTGCTGTTGCCACCACCAGCAGTGGGTGCTGTGTGCCATGGGGTGGCATGTGGGGAGCCCCACACCCCCCATTTTCCTCACATACCCACACACACAACCACACCCTCCCCTACACCCTCCACCAACCCCTCACACACAGACACACCCACCCCCACACCCCCCTACAAATCCCTCACCCACCCACTCTGCCACACATACCCCCCCAACCACACCCCACACACAATATGGAAAAGTAAGACTTTATTTTTGAGCTGTTATGCAATCACCTCTATATACACTATGTAAACGCATGTAAATCAGGATAGAAATATTTTTTTAAATACAGTTAAAATATGTTATAGTAGATTTTTAGCATATGATTTGGGGGTTTTTTTCCAGTTCCAAGATGGCAACCCCTCCTCCTCCCAAAAGGAGAACTTCTGTGAGCTTAGGGGGCAGAACTTCTGGTCCCAAGATGGTGATCAAAGGGTAGGGCACCTGTCAAGGGGTGGGACTACCCTTGCAGCCCTTGACAGCTCACCAAAACTCATTAAGCGGCCCCACAGCTGAAATCATTGCCCATCCCTGACCTAGATGCTGATGTTACTTCGCCTTGCTGCCTGGCTGTGGTGCACCATGGGCAAGCCAATCCTCCCACCCCCCCCACAAAAGAATGCCATCAATTCCACTTGCCACCCTTTTTCCCCCCTGTTCCCTGACTCCACAGGTCAAATCCAATAGCTCAATGAGCTGGATCATAGGTTGCCAATAGCAAAGTTCTCTATTTTTTTAAGTATAGAAATATAGGTATTCTGTAAAATATTATTATTCACTGAATTACTTTGACACCAAATCCAGACTCATGAACTTTATTTGTTGGGGGAGGGAGGGTTGGAAGGTTTAACCCAATCTTGTTCCTTTATAGGTCTCATGTAGAGTTCTATGATATAATTTTCTAAAATTTACAAAGTTCATGGCTTGTCTCTAGATGCCCTTTGACTTAATTGTTTCTACCAGTGGCATGAAATATATTATTTGTCCTTGACAAAGTATTGGGGGTAGGGGGGAGAAATAAATCCATATACTCACCCAAACCACTGATGGTATATTCAAGGTCTTTGGCATCCAACAGAATTGGTCCATTCTCCTGTTGGCCTTCTTCCTTATAGTATAATTTGTACCCTTGAATAGTTGCCGTTTCCTCAGAGTCTTGCTGCCACCTTACTGTTATGGTTGTACAATTCAGTGGTTCCAAACGCAACTCAGGAGACTTTGGCGCTGTAGTTAGAAATGTTTTCCTTTTTACATTTTGAAACAAGTTACTTTTTGCAAATATATTTCTGCAACATTCTAGATTTCAAATGTCCCCAATACTGCCCAAGGTTTTTATTCTAGCCTCTCTCTATAATTCATTAATTAATACGTTATAATGTAGCCACATCCCAGGGCTAGCTCAAGGAAAGATTCGCTTTGTAATTTAATATTTTCATTATGGAGAATTAATATGAGTTAAACATTTTAGGTTTTTTTGATTAGTCAGTCCCCCAAGTTATGCACTTGGCTTAGTGCATTTTAAAGTTGTAATGTTATGTCAGATCTAAAATTAGAGGTAACATTTAAAATTATTCAGAGCTAGAGTAATTCATAATTACTTCCTACTTCACTTGTGCTCCAAGCATTTAACATAGGATTGTATCTCCTACTGCAGAATTTGAGCTCTGTGCACTTCATTAAGTACATTTAAGAAAAAATCCTCTACAAACATTTTGGTGAATGTACATTAATGCTGTGTACGACCATTAAGTATGATGCTACTGAGTAATGAGTTTGGCTACAATAAAGTAAAATCCCTCTGAATCATACTGCTAAAGATAAAGTGACTTTACATGTGGAAAACACATATGCATAAGTATGACTGCATTGATGGGTGTCCATTAAGTAACCACATGCATAGCTGGTATGGGTAAAGCCCAAATTGCAGAAAATTTTTTTGGTACTAAACTGCAATGCCATTTCTTGAATTCTAAGTGTACAAGATACCACAAAAGCCTTCAAGATCACTGTTAAACAAGGCCAAATGGTAAAATGTTTGAGCTGCTTCTGCTTAGAAACAGAAGTTAAAATCCCTAACATAAAATGTCAAATAAATAATGATAAAATACAGAACTATACAACTAAAAAGCAGCAGAGAGTAACTGAGTAGCATTCTCATTTTTATATCTATAAAAAACCCAGTGCAATACAGGGTAATTCAAATAATCATGTCTCATTCAAACCGTGCCACTGAAACAAGCTTGATAGCATTTTTCCATATTATATTCCATTTGCTTTTACACATTGTTTGTCTCTTACTGGGCACATCTACACGAGATGCTTTACTGAGCAGTAAGCATGTGCATCTAGACATGCACATACTATGCAGTAAACCTTGCTAATTGCGAGTAAATTTGCTACCTGCAAATTCAAGTAGCAAATTAACTTTTGAATAGTAATGGTGCAGTTGTGCTTGTGTAGACCCCTAACCAGGAGCAAGTCTGCTCCTGGTCAGCTGTCCAACAGAGGGTGGGAGATTGCTCTCTGTCCCCAGGAGCTGCCTGCGAGATCATAATCAGGGAGCAAGGGGCTGGGAGGTCCTTATCTTCCGGTGCCAGCTCCACAACTGCAGAGCTGGTGCCAGCGCAGCTGAGCTGGCACTGGGAGATAAGGATCTTCCAGCACTGGCCCCATGTGGGAGCTCCCTGCTAGTGGAGGCTGGGGAGCCTGTTCTCCGCTCAGCTCCATGAGTGCAGAGCTGGGTGGGAAACAAGCTCCCCTGCAGCTCTTTCTAAGTCCCCTGCCCTTGATCAGGGAGTCAGAGCCAGGAGGTCCCTGCTGCTGGGGCTGGGGGACACTTTCCCTGCCCCAGCAGCATGGGCAGAGCATAATGTTCCAGCCCTGGCTAGGAGCCAGCAGTCTCCTGGCCTCCTGCCAATCCCTGGGTTAGCACCCAGAGAGAGCCTAGAGCTCCCCCAGTGCCAGCACAGGCCCACTGCAGGGCCCCAGGAAGTAGCAGTTTGCTGCCATTAGCAGCCAATCTGCTCCCGCTTCCCTGCATCCATAGATGCCTGCCTGGGAGTGTTTACTCACATGTAGTTTACTTACGAGTAAACTGATCCTGGATCAAATGCATGTATAAATGCACCCACTGTATGCCATCCTGACCCTTTGTTGGGAAGCCCATAATTCTGAATACATACACACATACATTTAAATAATTAAAACAACCACATGGTGCAACTTCACTCCTTGTGATTACAAACACAAAATGAGAATTTATAGCAACATGTGCTCAGCACCACAACAAATACAATGGAAAAACCTTGTTGAGATATTTTCCTCCCACAGGGTGCAGATTAAAATACATTTGGGACTAGGTACACAATGCTCCTTTCTTTAAAGGACCTTAGCAAAGGAGAATTACCTTTCACACTTGTGGCTTTTGGAGTCCGGTGGGAGGTCCACAGAGATGCTTCTCCCCAGCCTATCCTTGTCGCTGCAGTAATACGAACCAAGTAGACACTATCAGGCTTCAGGCCTTCCAGAAGATGCTCATTTGCAGTCCCTGGAAGCTCTACAACTTGGATAGCGCTCTCTGTGCTGAGGCGGTAAGACAAACGGTAGAGGACCACTTGGCCTCGTCTGTATTTGGCTGGTATTGGCAGCCAGGAAATCAGAATATCTGTAGGACTTCGACTTGTCAAACTAATTTCAGGAGCTCTCAAAGGAACTAAAAATAAAAAATAAGAGTAGGTATCTTTTTTAAAGCATACAGGGAAAAAGCAGATGAAAACTCTTAACCTAGTATCTACTATTGTGAGTTTTCAGTAAAATTTTCCTAGGTAAAGCTAGAAAGCCAGTCAAAAAGATCTGGAGGATAGAGACACAAGAAGAGATCATTCTAAAACTGATCACAGTTCCTTATGTAATAGGGACCCTAGCAAGTCTGCTCTTGGAAGTGGCTTAGCACTTTCCACCTCTTACCACAACAGCAGGTGACAGTCAGCATCATGCGGAACTACTGGGTCCAACCTGAGCACAGTTTTGCATTAATACATGTATTAATGAAATTAATACACATATTAGCTGTATCACTGCATAGGAAATAGGGGGAAGACAGTTTTTTCTGAATATCTAAGATATCGTAATAAAAGTTTCCTCAATTGTTTAAGGTTCTCTTAGATAGGAATGGTAATTTCCCCTTCAAAAGATGAACAAAGATTGTTTAGGTTATGTACATTATCATATCAAAAGTGTATTAATAATACAACTAACTATGTCTGTGAACAATGAATCTTACTGCTAGCAGGGTAAAAGAGGGCATTAGAATCCTAAAACCCCACAAATTATTAACACTTACTTAATGCTACACACTATTGTTAAAGAATAGAGACCAGCCTTTTGACTCATTCAGTAACAACATGTTCTTTCAGCATAAAATAAATACACCTTGCATAACATGGAATGTTTTTTTTATTCTCACCTTTCAATTGCTGGATCAGTTTTGCATTTGTATGTACCCAGAAGTGCCAATGAGGTCAGTGGGAATTCAAGATACTCTGAGAGCATTAGCACAGGGTTGGACATGTGGTTTCAGTTCAAATAAAAATGCTTATTTTACTCTGCCACATTTATTTAACTTACCATCTTCAAGGGTGTGTTGAGTCACATGATCTGACATCTGACTGGCTCCCATGGGCATGTAAGCCACAATATAAAAGGTGTAGTTGCTAGCTGGTTCCAAGTCATCAATAATGTAATGAGTTGTGTCATTTCCAATAACCACCTGATATTCTTCATTATTTAAACCTGGAATAAGAAGAGATAACAGGAACAAAAATTGCTGTTAGTTCTTAGCACAAGAAGATCCAAGGGTGGTGACTAAATCTATCTTTCTGGTCCTACAAGTTTAAGGAGTTTTCTTCTTTTTTAAAATGATCCCGATAAAGGAAGCCTTTTGTACATGGAAGTAACTGTGTCTTATAGATTATGGTGGCTCAGGATTTTTGTTGAATAAAAAGATGCTGAATACAATTAATCAATTCTAAAACCCCTTTCTAGAATTAGTCACAACAATCTGTCCCCAGTGTACAGTAACACAACAGACAAGCTCTAATAGCTTTATCATTCGTAGCAAGTCTTTAAATCTATTTGTTTCGAACCAGTGTGCTTTTTCAAAACCTATTTACAGAGCTTTCATATTAGACTGTGAGGAATGTGAAGGCTTCATTCTTTTTTTTAAAAAAACAACAAAACAAACAGAAAGAAGTCGTTCTGCAAAGGATCTCATTTTAGCCTTGAGAATTCTATTAAATTTGATTGACATGGTTTTTTTCTTTAATTCAGAAAAGCCAACAGCAATGGTCCAGAATGAGCTTCAAAAATGTTTTGCACCCTAATGAGCTGTAAAAAAAAATTCTCAGCAATTCATATTAAAATATGCATAGCAATGTATAGAGCAGGCTTTGTCTTTGTTGGTCTTTAGTCCTATAGAGGAAAGCTGTGAAGTGGAATAAGTTTGGTGAAAGCTTAATGAACAATTCACACCAAATGCATGTCAACTTAATCAAAACTCTGTAAGAGCCAGCCCCTCCTCTATAGAACTGAATTTATAAACAAAAAACGGAAGGCAAATTCCACCATTAAGTTTTCCCACATTTCTGAATTAACTTGATAGCATTTTAATTAGACAAGATTAGCAGCATCTCACAACAGACTAGTTAATGGCTTGTTAATTAGGAATTGCATGGCACGATTTCTGACCTGCTAAACAAGATCCTTGAGCTCAAATTAAAAGGACTTGTTCTCTCATTGAATGGATTGCTAGGCCTCATGTGGATTCCCTAATGAACCAGCCATAATAGAGAACAAGGCTTGTCTTCCAGGCCCTAATGAAACAGCCATAATAGAGAACAAGGCTTGTCTTCCACCACAATCAGTATTCCCTTTGTACTTTTTCTAAATCACCAACAAGGAATTAACACACTCCAACATGCACTCATCAGTGTCTTATTCTTCTTGCTACCCTGACCCCCTATTTAAATGTAAAATATTCTTCTTTAAAAAAATAAAATAAAAAAAAGACACCTGTCAGGTTCTTCAGCCAGCTTTATTAAACACTAACATTATTATTATTATTATTATTATTATTATTAGGAAGGGATCTCAACCTGTTTTTGTCACATATTTTACAAATGCTAAACTTATTATGGAATTGAACAATGAACTGAAGCATCTTTTTTTTAAACACCTGTCTGTGAACACAGACAGAAATTTCAGGAACTGAATATGATTAGTGTATTTTGAAAGTTTTCATTGCACTTCAAACTAAAGTTAATGGAATTATGTGCAACAGTCTAATATAGTATAGGTATAGCCGAAAGCACTATTGTATTAGAATATTTAGGATAGCATGAAACTTACTTACTCATAAACCCTAACAATTAATTGATACTTCACCTGATACTATATTTAGGAAGAATTACAAACATACTATTTAAAGCAAATAGATTACAAATGTGCAAACATGAGACAATGATCCAAACATGAGGCATTCTCTATGTGACTTTAATGCCAATGCATACAATATGTCTAAACATACCATAATAAAACAGGAAACGGTAATTACAAGTTTCACTTCGCTATTATTTCATTATAGTAGCACCTAGAGCCCCAAAGAGCACGTCCAGACGAACACGCACATGCCTCTTGCAACATCTCAAAGTCCTTTGAAATGCTGCAAGAGGCACATGCGGGAACAAAAAAACGTTCCTTGTGCTGCGAATTTGGCTGTGCAGTCCCCATCCAGGTTTGGCAGGTGCACAGCAGGTCACAGCCAGGCAGCAGCCCCCACCGCCAGACTGCTGTAGTGGGTAGAGGGTGCAGGGAACTCTCAGGGCTACTTCAGCAGTCCAGCTGGCACAAGGGGTAGTGTCCACAGGTATCAATTAGCCGGGCCCCAGGAGCTCTTGAGAATGAGTAGCCCTGGGCTACTTGCCAGGGCAGCTTTTTGTACTGATGGGGCCAGGACAGGGCAGCTTTTTACATTGCTGGGGCCAGCACAGGTGCTGGCCCCAGGCTCTAGCTGCCCATGGCTGCAGATCCGGGAGGAGCCAGGCTGGGTTATTTTGCCCCAAATGGCACAACTTGCACCACACCAAAGTGCATATCCAGGCACGTGTGCTGAGGCAAAAAGCCCTGGCTCAAATTTGCACCGCTTTTTTGAGCTGCTGCAAGCGCGCATGCCTACACGTGTGGGTGTGCCCAAAGGGTCAATCTAAACTCTAGTACTCTAGTCTTGCAGGGATTTACAAATAGGAATAACTTTAAACATGTAAATCATATTACATTTAATCCAAGCATGTATGTAAACTGTCCCAGTAGCAGTACCAACATTAAGATTCAAAAGAAGGTATAGCAAACAAACAAGGGGAATGCAGAAAGGTAAGATTAGGGTAACAGTGGCCCAAGCACCTGCTTCTGTGGGCTACATGAAGAAATTAAAGAATGTGAATTCTTAAAATACAAGTTAACCAAAGGTGATAATGGTGTCTTCAGTGTCATCAGATGCCAAGCATCTCTCTAGCCACATTATGAGCTATCAAGACAAATTATTATCTTTAGTTATCTTTCTTATCTCTCCTTACACTTCAAATTAGCTCATCCAGCTTTCAAGAGGGCAGTGTTTTAGGTAGAAACAGTCTCAAAAAAGGTTAACACGTTTTCTTCGTTATGGACAACTATATTTGAGCCAGGAACAATCTTCGGAAAACTGTACTCCCTTTATTTTTGGCACTTAAAAACAAACAAACAAGCAAACAAAAACAACTTTTTTTTTGTTTGTCAGCCTTTTTCTGCTTGCACCTCTGTAGGTGTTATTAACCCAGAGGTGGGCCATGTCTTCAAGGCAAAAACACAGACATGTGACCTACATTTTTATTTCAAATTGCTGGAGTTACCTAATGTAAATCCACCTTCAGGTATTATAGCTTTACCAGTGGGAAGAGTGCTCAACAGACTTACTTACAACAAGGCTAACATTACATGAATTAAAAAAAACAACCCACAAACCGCCCCCCACAACAACACCACTTTTGAGTAGTTGAGTTAGCAGGCCCAATCAAGCTCAGGGGTCACTTGGTTCTCTGAGGGTCTGCAATGTCACAGCAGGTGAACTTAAATAAAACTCTGGGACATGTGTGATCTTTCAACAAACAAGAGCTTCAGTTAAACAGGGGCTGCATAATGGAGTTCCACTGTATATATATAATTTTTAAATCAAACAACTACACTGCTGGTACACCTCCTGCATAGATGGTTCACTGAGATACTCCTTTCTAATTCCCAATAAAGTTCCCTACCCTTTCATACTACCAATACAGAAGCCACATAAATACCTAGACAGATTATACAGTGTGAGTTTAAATTCATATTTGTGTTTAATAGGAAATGTATGGATAATTCCTCAGCAATTCTGAAAATTTAGGAATAACCTCCTATGTGTTCACTTCTTCATTGGAAACTCTTCCCTTATGTCAAACATCATCTACTTTGTGTCCTGAAAAAATCCTATTTTCAAAAGAAAAAGGCAGCTATTTCTGTATTAGTCCTTAGAATAATTAAGCTGGTCCTTCCTGTCTTCTGCCTACCAGATGGCAGGTTGGTATTTCATACTGAGAGCTGACCATCTGCAATCCTGCCCTTGAATAAACTAACTGTTAAATAGGACCAGAGAAAGCAATCTTTCCACTCAGAAAACAGAGCTTCAGTGATGAGATTAGCATCATGTAGTTCAATTCATGCAGCTAAGTGATTTTTCAGTCACTTGGCAGTCACTTTTGCTTATAAAACACACCAGCCTCCTATCATGAGATAGGTAATAGATAATTACTTTGAATGTTAACATTTAGAGCAGTGGTTCTCAACCATTTTTGTACCAGGACCCATTTGTAAACATCAATGGTCAGTCCCAATCCAGTGCCCCTCACTCCTGACCCACTCCCCCTCCACCCCGACCCCCCAATGTGTGGGGTCGAGGAGGGGCAGAGGGCCTCCAAGCAGCCCCTTGAAGGCTGGAACTCTGCCAGCCTGCAAGGGAAAAGCCATGGTTTCCCAGTTTTCTCCTTTAAAAGAGAATCTATTTTTAAGGTTTGCTGATCCATTTTTTGAAGTTTGTTTGTGATCCTTTCATATATTCTTGTCACCCACTTTTGGGTCATGACCCACGGGTTGAGAAATACTAGAATAAAAGACATGAGTATCTAGTTACTTCCTACTGCCTTAAGTGAACTGTCCCTTTTTAGACAAGATAGATGTAATATTTCAGAGATAACCCATAGCAGAGTGCTAATGGGTTATTTCAGCACATTTTTGAACCTGGGTACACTGACAGAATCATGCCATCTCCTCTGCTTTCAATAGTGGAAGGCATGAAACAGAGGAAAAGCCTCCCCACCTTGGCCAGAGTTCTATCCAAGGGAAGAGGGTTAAACCCATACAATCAGCACAAGCTATGTGGATTAAGAATGGAGAGGCATATCTGGAAAAGAGCTTAGCTCTGTGAACACACTGGTCAGCCCTATCTTACACACCCAAACTCTAGCTGTATATACCTGAGGCATGAATATAAGCAGAAGGGAAAGGTTGGCAGAGACTCCTGAGGAGATCCTGCTCCCAGAGAAAAGGGAATCCAAGCATCGCATGGAGGCACTATATCTCTTTGTCCATGCTCCAGCCAGTTGTGACTATTCAATATTTGCTTACCTGTGCACACTGCGGAGGTAAACATGTGCCAGCCCTATGAATAAGATATTTTGGCAAAAGCTCTGTAGCCTCAAAACATTTACTACTTCAGGTTGGCTGCCCTGTGCTCTTGTATGTAAGAAAGTATGATTTAGCCTAAAATTAAGTTTATGAGACTTTTGTTGTTGGCAGACTCTTACTACGACAAACTACTGCAAAAAACCCCAAAAAACAAACCTGATCACAAATGAGACTTTAACAAATATTATGCACATGCACTTTAAAACAACACTGCTTACCTTCTGCTTTCATGTAGTGCACAGAGTATGCAATCACTTTATCTGAATTATAGAGGGGTCGCTCCCAAGCAAGCAGGATTGCTGAACTGGACATAGTTTCAGCATGGACATTATAGGGAGCACTGGGTCTGTCTTCTGACATAACTACAGTCAGTCTGGCCCTGGACAGGATAGAGCCCTGGCTATTTTCAGCCATACACTGATAAATAGCATCATCTTCAGGAATTATCTGATTGATCACCAATTTACTAGAGAGAGAGAGAGAAAAAAAAGGGGGGGGGGAAGTGTCTTATATTAATTTAGCTTAGTATAATGAAAATTCTCACTCTTTTACCCCTTCTCTATTAATTCATACTCTTAATGCCTTAGATAGAATTTACTATTCATTCTTTTCAGTTAGAAATTGATTGTCAAAGTTAGAAGCTTTAGAAGGTCTTCACAAACCTTCTTCCAGGCCCTATGCTTAGTCCTAAAGTCAAACACATTTTTAAAAAGTAAAAGCATATTTACAAACTTCCGTTATAAAAACCATTGCTAGAGTTACTCTTTCATAATGCTGCACTTATTTTTCCCCCCCACCAGTAGGGTTTTTTCATCTTCATTGGATTTTAATAAGAGGTGCTCATTTGGAGAATATAATGATATAAAATAGCTCAAACAGCAGACGAGACTATCTTTTTTAAACCACTGAAAATCCAATGAAGTCAACTAAATTACTCCAGTTAATTTACTGAAATAGCAGAGATCATAAACTGGAAAAAGTTCTAGCTCTGATTGTGATGTAATCAATTTGTATGTATTTTATTTGCGTAATAATCTCAAAAGCTAGGGTCAATGGCTATCTGAATGGTCTGAATACTTTAATGAATCACAAGAAAAAAATTATTCTTTTACCTGAGCATGCTGTTCTCTCCCATATGTAATCCTTTAATAACTACTGTACATTTCACAACTGCTATGATTTAACAGCAGTAGTAATCTCACCTGTTGTACATTTTAATTCTACCATTAGAGTGTATCCTTCTCCCATTTTTCAGCCATGATATTTTGGGTGCAGGAATTCCTTCTGCCTGACAGGCAAAACGGGCTGTCCCAGCTCTGGGCCTTGTTAAACTTTCAGGCCATTCCACAAAAGAAGGGGGCGCTGCAGATAAATAATAAGATAAAAATTAAATCTACAACAAAACTAACGTTGACAGAGTTAAAGCCAAGAAAATTTCCAATGCACAAACCCCTCTAAGGCCACAGGAAGAACATACAACATCATGTAAGTACGTGTTTCATATGCACAGATATCCTGCTTTTAAAAAACATATGTAAAAATTAACCATTTTCATTTCCATTCATGTGTTTATAAATTAATTATTTAAAAGTCCACTGTATAAAGTGTTGCTCTTGAAGCAGTCACTTGTTATATTTTTGACCTTGCTAGAAAAAGACTCATTCCATAGCAAATTAATCTATTTCTCTCCAAGAGCAAATAAACTGTAGGAAATAACTCTTTAATCATACATATCTGAAAGTAACTCATTTAAAGTAGTCTCACAAAAAATGGCCCAAACTCAATGTTCTGTTCACCTGTGAGACCACACTGCAACCCATCAGCTACATCAACAAAATCAATGGCAGAATGAACCTGAACTGTCAGCTACAGAACAAATTTTCACACAGTAGCAGGTTTTGTCAAACTGAAATTCAAAACAAGCTCACCTAACACAGTGAGAGTTGCCATTGCAACCGTGAAGTTACGTGTGCCTGGAATAGTGGCTCGACAAACATACACTCCAGCATGCTGCACCTTCACATCAGATATCATGAGGTTCCCATTTCCAAGGACCCGGGTATTGAAGACATCGATAGACTTATGGTCTGTTTCAGAGAGGAAAAAGTATGGTTACAAGATTGCTCCATGGTGTATTTTTAATCTAATTTATAGACTAGATGGGCCAAAGGCTTGGGGTAATGCCTAGTAATCAAAAGACCGAAAGGGAATTCACAGGCTTCCATTTTTATTTAGTTTGCCTCAGCTGTGCTTTGCGAGGGCCCTCCAGACAGGTCTTTGATCACTTGGATAGCATGTCTAGTTTATGTTTGAAGTTTTTCCTGTTAGCTGAATTACTGCCAGTATCCCAGGCAACCTACAGGGTACACTTTGTACTTCCCGCCTTAAGTTAAGATTGAATTAATTGCTGGTAATGCCCACTTCAATTTCACAGACAGAGAGTATTCATTTACTAGTAGATTATGTTGAGAATGAAAGGATTTCTAAGCAAATGCTGTGTAGAAATCCTGCTAAATTAACTATCACATTTCCTTTTTTCTTAGTTGTGTTTCTATATGCTCCCAAGCTCAGAAAGACTTCACTATTTATTTCTCTTCCCCTTAGACGTACAATACACAAATAATATTTGATGACTGGTAAATCAGATCTTTGACAGACAGTTCTGCATTTTACATTTATTTCACGTTACGTAGGTGTGTGTAGAGGGAAGAAGCTACACTTTTCTACAAAAAGAATTCTTTTTGTAGAAAATAAACATTTGTTACAGTCAAATTCCACCTCTTCTTCCCATTCCTCTGTTCAGGAACAGATTATGGCTAAGTGTGGCCTAAATCAGCTGTGAACATAGGGCCAAGGCCACAATTATGTATTTATTTGTTTTACAGTATGTAACCATTCAAACCAGTCTTATCTCACAGTTGATTCTACCTCCCAGTCACAGAGTCCCCAAAGATCACAGTCCTGTGCTCCTTCTCCCCAGTACTGTACTAGGTGACTGTGCAGAATCAACAGCTGAAAGCAATCCAACGGGCCAAAAAAATGCCTTACACCTTCTCTATAGCATAAGGGAAAGATGATCCAAAACATACTTTACACTTTCGAACCCAAATCAACTTCTTCCTCTTATCAGCCTAAGAGTACACAAAGCCTCCAAACAATAACCTAATTACTGAAATCCTTTCTTTCCAGTTTCACTTCCTTTCAACAGGCTAAAGGTTGCAGGCTGTAATTTTAAGACTTACCTAACCGGCTCCAAGAGATGATTGGCTTTGGATTCCCTGTGGCAACACACTCCAAGATGACAGTTTGATGAAGAGATGCTGTAATGTTCTGGGGACCAGCTATAATGGCTGGCTTGTGGAACAGCTTCAAGTCCAAGGCTTTTAAAAGCAAAGGATTAAATAAAAAGCCAATCAATCATGACATAAAACACAATAACTACATGCTAAGAGCAAGGCTGCTTGAAGCTCACCCTTAAAGTTAAAATTACAAATACAGACATTTTCTTTAATTGTGTCATTAGTAATTGTACACACTCAGGAAAAGAAGGAAATAGAGCTGTTGCTGCCGAGGTTGATGGGTCTTTTTCAAAATAAGTCCAAAGACAGTAAGAGCTCTCTACTGAAGGTACATATGTATCTCTTTGTAGACTGTTGTGAAAAAGACCATAATATTGGCGGGGTGGGGGTGGAGATTTATATATTCTGGGTACCTGGAATAACAGTTAGTACTGCCTCAGCACTTTTACGTCTATTGGCTATAGTTGTAGCAACACATCGATAATTTCCGGCATCTCTCTGTTCAACACCATAGATCTGAAGAACTCCTGTTGGTAAAGCAGTTATTCTGTCATGGAAACAAAAAGAAACGGCATGTTTGTATTTATATACATTCTTGTTTCTCCACTTGATTAGCAAACAGCAATTGCCATACCAGCTTGAGAACAGCAAGCAGGGGAGCCTCCAAAAAACATGTTATACACATGACTCATCTCCACACTTCTTACCTTCAGTAATCTGAGGGAAATCTCTCCCTGCCCCTCCCCCTGGATGAAGGAATAAGAATGAATTTACCTGCAACTAATGGTTCGGCGCCCGCAAATACAACACCCTAATCCCTCATTCACCCTTCTGTATTCAGTTTGGTGAGTCTTAGCACCCAATATATTTAAAAAGTCGACTGCTTTTTGATGGTGACTTCACTTGAATAACTGCTACCTAGAGAAATACACCACATGTATTTCCTATAACAGTGTCAATCATTTAAACTTTTATGCTTCTCTTTCTTCCCTCTCTTGCAAGCTAGGAAGAATGAGTACACTCAAGAGAAGTTATGCAGCAAGGGAGAAAGTATTTGCAAGGGACAGCCTTAAATGAGAGATGCCGTAAGTAATGTTTTCTGGGGAAAATCTAGCAGGGGGGGTGGATGTGAGGCCAGAGGCACTCGGGGTCAAAGGAAATGCTCTCTGTGCTGGAGTTCCTTCTTACTAAGCATTCCAAACCAAACTTCCCCAGGCTGCTTTAATGGCAACCTAAGGTCAGCAACTATCGCACTTCATTCAACAGAGTGATTCACAAGAGAGCAATTCTCCAAGGAACAGACCTCACTACACAATCTCTTCCTAACTGGTGTCTAGGAACCTTTGTAAACCACTCCTGGAATGGCTCAGGAGGACTTCTGTAGATCTCTGTATACCGTACAGAATTCACTGCTCTGGACAATACAACAAAAGTATGTGGTCTCTGAACTACTCTATTCACTTCTGCCCTTTGTAATGTCCAATTCCTACTATGCCCCCATCCACATAGCGGTTTCCCCACTATATTGTACTTAAGTATGGTATCAGCAGGCACACCTCAACCCTGCAACATTTAAACTGATTCTGTAGTTGCAAGGACTCATTTTAGAACTCCATAGCCTCACAGACATATTAAGAATCCCATATTTAAAGATATTCTGATAACTAGACTAAATTAGAAAAAAAAACCCAAAAAACACATTCTGGTAAACTGTTTCTTAAGTGTATCAGTAAAAATTATTAAAAACATAAAAGACTTTCTGCACCCTTATTGATATTTTGAAGGAGAAAAGGACTTAAATAAAGCCTCAATTCGGAAATCACATATTTGAGTAATTTTATGTATAAAAGTAGTCCTTCTGAGCTCGGCAAGACTTCCTTCATACCTGAAGTTACTCAAATAAACAAGCATCAGCAAGATTTATTTATAACTATAAAATGGGTTATTTAATGATTCTAAACTATACCTCAAATGTTACTGGTTTAGTTAATGCTTTTTAAAATAACACTTTAAGTGTTAGGATTCCCTCCTATTCTGCAATTCTCAGATTGCCACAGATTCAAAATGTTTTATAGTTTCATAGTTGGTAGGGTCGGAAGGGACCTGAGGAGATCATCTAGTCCGACCCCCTGCCGTGGCAGGAAAGAGTACTGGGGTCAAATGACCCTGGCCAGATGTTTGTCCAGCCTCCTTTTAAAGACCAGTAGGGTAGGAGCCAGCACCACTCCTTTTGGAAGTTGGTTCCAGGTCCTAGCTGCCCTGACAGTGAAGTAGTGCCTCCTGATGTCTAGCCTGAAACTACCCTCCACTAGCTTGTGTTCATTGTTTCTTGTAACCCCCGACAGTGCTCAGTGGAACAGGGACTCTCCCAATGCCTGCTGGTCCCCCTTGACTAGTTTGTAGACTGCCACTAAATCCCCTCTCAGCCTTCTCTTTTGGAGGCTGAACAGGTTCAGGTCCCGTAGCCTCTCCTCGTAAGGCCTGCCCTGCTGACCCCTGATCATGCGGGTGGCCCTCCTTTGGACCCTCTACATATTGGCCACATCCCTCCTGAAGTGCTGTGCCCAGAACCGGACGCAGTACTCCAGCTGCGGCCTGACCAGTGCCGCATAGAGGGGGAGGATCACCTCCTTGGACCTGCTTGAGATGCGTCTGTGGATGCACGACAAGGTATGGTTGGCCTTCCTGACCACGTCCCCACTTTGTCAGCCCATGTTCATTGTGGCATCAATGATGACTCCAAGATCCTTTTCTGTCTCGACACTGGCGAGAAGGGAGTTCCCCAGCCTGTAGGTGTGCTGCTGGTTCTTCCTCCCCAGGTGCACTACCCTGCACTTGTCAGTGTTGAACCCCATCCTGTTCTCATCGGCCCATCCCTGTAACCTGTCTAGATTCGCTTGCAGCATGTTCCTTCCTACTGTTTACAGAGAAGATATCATGCCAAAGTGTGAAAGCCTACATACCTGTCCATGGCTAACGGTAAAGTTGTTCTATTTACTTCCCATGTGATGATGGCAGGAGGGTTTGCTGTTATTTTACAGGACAATCGGGCAACACCTCCTTCTTGGACTTCAATTGAAAGCGGTTGGACTTCAAATGCAGTAATAGCTAAAAAATAATAATAATAATAAAAAAAAAATTTAATAAAATTTAAAAGGCTGAATGAAAACAAGTTAAAATAAATGAATAGCCCTAGAAGTCAGCAAGGACAAACATGTTCCGAAGGACATAGTTATAGATCAACTTGCACAAAAATTACCCAGAACAGTCTGTTTCCTGACATTTAAAGATGCAAACTTTGATACAAAGGCCTCAATGATAGCAAAATTGCATAGGTTGAATTAATCATGTGTTTAGAATAATTCAGTTAAACCAGTGCATGACTGACATGACTGTTGTGGTCAAGCTTAGTATGATTTAAGACAGGTTCATTGGCTTCAACTCAATTATGTTAAAAATGGAAAAAGCCAAATTAAAATAAGTCAGTGTTAAATCTTCAAACAGATTTAAGGATATCACTATACAAAACAGGTTTGCATTTAACTAAAAAGTTAGATGTGTCACCTAATCCTGTGAACCTTGATAAAAGTAAAGCCCATTCATCACAGAGGGAGCTTTGCAAAGCTACATTTAGTTCCTCCCAGCTAAGTTTTGCTGTTTAACAACAGTATTTACCTTCCTCACTCAGGTCTGGAAAAACACTTGTAGCGTTGTACCAGTTAATACTTTAATGGAAAAACAAAACAAAAAGGTAAGTACTGTAAAGAACTGTGAACCTTCATCTCAGCCATCTGGGTTAAAATGTATGTGGTGTGATTCCTATTGTTACTTTTACCCATGACAGCTTCCCAATATAGTTTCACACTTTAACAGCTGAAGGGAGTGAAACAAAAATGAACTGCATAAAGTAAAAGATAAATGAACAACTTCCAATTAACAAACACCTACAAAACCGATCAACAGTTTGATTCTCTTGGTCAGGAAATGAAAGCTTGGAAGAAAAGAAAAAGCAGAGCTTCTAAACTATTAATGTATTTACTGATATTTGTGGCAAAAATAAAATAATAACATATAATAGAACAAGAATACCCATCTGGGCGAGCCATGCTATTTAGTTCATTTTTTTTTTAATTTAATTAAAAAACACAAGATTTTCCCCCTTTGTGTAAATCACATAAAATATTGTCATAGACTATCCAAAGTCACTGACCTATTTCGTTAGAACTGAATGTTGTGTATTAAAAGACCTGCCATAAGTTATTGATTCCTTAGTGGAGTACAGACACATGTCTTTCTCTTATAAAGAGTACTCTTCTCAGATTTTCAGAATTCCTGTATGTTTCCTAGTGCAGAATAATGTGATTTCATAATTAAGACTCTCATAAATGGCAAGCCATTGCTCTGGAAAATAAGGTCTGGCTTACACCCAGCTTTGGTACCAGTACCATTATTTTGGTTAGTGTGTGTTGGGATAGGAGGTGAGGCAGGGTAGTTTTTTACAGTTTCAGTTTTTTTCTTCCAGTATAAGTATGAACACAACATTATCAATATAAAAGGTGCCTTAACCAGTACAGTTATTCCACTTTCCATGTAGGAGTAAGCTATCCTGGTATAAATGCCTCCATACTACATGGGCTATATACTTTCACCATAAAGAGTTATAACTTAGCACGGTGATTCTCAACCAGGGTGCCCCAATAGCTTGGGGTGCCTTATTCTTTCAAGGGTGCCATGGGGTGCTACACAATGTTAGTACTAGTATGTATGCAAACATGATTCACATTATAAACCCAGAGATTTCAAACAAGAATTCATAGCGTTCAAACGTTCTGACCTGTTGCAGTCTTTTTAAGTTCTTTATAACAAAAGAATTGGCTTATTTTTCTTTAGTCAAAAAGCAAGTGAAAATGAAGACCTGCATTTTCTAAAAAGATGATGATTTCCAAACCATCATCCTAGTCATGGTACTCCTGATTAACCCTGGCAACAATGAAAGGTGGGACAATCAAACTTACAAGAACTGTTTAACCCCTCTCGCTAAAGCCTTTTTTTTATTTCCAGAAAACCAAATATAAAACCCCCTCCCCCACAATAATTAGGCATCTTGTTTCTCTGAATATGGAAGCTCAGCTTCATAAAAGACTGAGGACCCGTCAGTTATACCTCTACCTATGACATACAGGTTAGTGTACTTACATTAGCATCTTCTAGATCTGCTTTGCTTTGATTCCCCCATGGAGCTGATAAGACAAAAACACTCACTCTTTTCTCTCTCCTTTGATACCAAGGGTGTGCAACTCATCAGGCCCCACAGGCCAGATAAGGGTCACAGGGTCAGATATGGACCGACCCCCTGTGCCAATGGCAGCATCCCTGGCACCGGCTCCAGCCCCCATGACACATACAGCATGCGGGGCTGGGGGAGCTGGGTGCCCACCGGCTGGATCGTATGGCTCCACAGGCCAGAACTGGCCTGCAGGCTGTATATCTGACAACCCTCTCTACTCCAAAGGCTTGACTTGACAGGATACGATCCTTTAGTTCCCCATGGGAGTTAACACTACCTCTGCTCAACCCACCAGATCCAGTCCAGGAGGAATCCAAACCAGGGAGTTAAATGAATTTAACGTGCCTGCTTTAAAGGGTAAAACTCAAAAGAACTTTGGTCTGCACAGGAACTGCAGAATCATGCCCATAATTTCCTGACATTTTTGACACCATGTAGTAGAACACTCTCAGGCACTTTATACTCAACATTTAGGTTTTGTCAAGGAAAAAAACTGCAGCCTTCCAATCCTAATTTTTAAATAAATACTTTAGTGATTTTTTTAAAATTCCAGCGACTGCAGTTTATTATATTCCCTGGCAACTCATACATTACAACTACTGGATGAAAACTAGAATAAAAACTTGGCAGGAGAAACTGAAAAAAAGAAAAGTAACATGTAAAAACTACTAAAACTGCATCAACAGCTAGTACAGCTATGCAGCAAATACTTGCATTTAATTCATCTAAGGCAAGGATATCCAACAGGGCTGTGTGAAATTTCACTGGCCGGTTCGTTTTGACGCTGTTTTGACTCGTTTTGAGCTCGAAACAGCAAAATTGAAACGAGACGAAGGACTTCGGAACAGCCTCAAAATGAAACAAAATGAGACCACTCGAAACGTTTTGAAACATTTCAAATTTTGAAGCAGTCAGCCAGGTGGTGGGAGACAGGGGAGAGCCAGGGCTGCAGACCCATGTTGCTCAGCCTGGCGGGGAGTGCAGCCATGGCTTTCCCTGCCTCCTGCCACCAGGCTGCGCTCTGTGGGGCTGGTGGAGACAACTGGAGCACAGCGCTGGCTCTGCCTGCCTCCCACCGCTGGGCTGAGCTCTGATCAGCTCTGCCAGCCCCATGGATCTCAGCTCAGTGGTGGAAGGCGGGCAGAGCCGGCACCTCCCGCCACCGGGCTCAGCTCCCCAGGACTGTGAGCCACTGGGAACTGAGTGGGAGCACCTCCTGCCGCTGGGCTCAGTTCCCAGCAGCTTGCAGCACTGGGAACTCAGCCGGGCTGGGGGAAGCACCTCCTCCAGCCCAACTGAGTTTGCAGCCCCTCTCAGCGCTGGGGAATCCAGCTGGACTGGAGGAAACGTATGAGTAATTTGTGGCATGCCTGCCAAAAAGTTTGACTCCCAGTTATACGGCTTGCCAGTAACTGAAGCAGAGATTCTTTCTCCTTAGCATTTTCACCCTGTGTCTTTTAAAACAAAGTGATTTCCCAGTGAATGAGATCCCATTGGTTGTCTATACACGTGCTCTGAGGTGAAGGAGAGGGGTGCTTTAATTAGAGTGGTTCTGAGATCCGCTCTTATAAAAGCACTCATTGTATCACATGTGTTCAGCATCCCGCACTTTAAAATGGCAACAGGGATGCTTTAACTAAAGCTCTGACAAGCTTCAGTTAAAGTGCAGCCGTTTTAAAACGTGGGAATGCTGAACACATATGACATGGAGGCTGCTGGAGCATGCTAATTAGCACACTCCAGAGCTGCAGCAGACTCCATTAATCGAGTCTGCTCCAACACATGCTAATTAGCACATATTGGAGCAGAGGTCCATCATGTGTATAGGTACCCATAGACACTAGAAACAATTGCTGCACCAAAAAAAAAATCCAAGACAGTATTCTCAGCACACTGCCTACTTTATAAATGTTACAAGGTTGGTTTTAGAAAATGCTTGTCTTTGTCCTCCAATCAGATCACAATTTATAAACTGTTCTTCACAGCTCCATATCCACTCCTTCAACTTCTTGTTACTTAAAGCAAATCTTTAGTTTCTTAATTCTGACTTTATTTGTGCCAGTAAAATCACTTTTTACAAGTCTGCTGTTGTCTTGTGAAACCTGACCTCTTTTTAACATGCTTGTTTTCATGGCAAGTGCTGATACCAACTCCCAATCCCAAGAACAAGTAATTAAAGCAGTGCTGTTAAGAGGCCAGAGCCCTATAAAATGGATAAGAAACAAAGTCTCAAGAGACATGCATTGTTCTTGAAAACTACCCTGCAAAACACAATAAATGTAAGTGCCTTTTTATTTGAGCTTTCCTCCTCCTCTTTAGTCTGTGTAATCATTTTGTTTCCAGGTTTACAGCTAAAAGAAAACAACTAGCATTACGCTGAGAAGCTAGCTACCACTGTTTTTAACTTGTAAAATACAGTACACTGATCATAAAGCAATAAAGCAATAGTTACTAATTGGATTCAGTTTTGCTGGGAACTTGTGTCCATATAGTTTCTTTTGAATAACAATATTGATGATTCTATAAAACCATGCATATATCCACATTTTAATCTTAACACTGCATAGGGGGGACGAGAGCCTAGCCCTGCAAAGTGCAGAGCACCCTCCCCGGCAATTTATGGGAAACGGAGATTTAGAAACTTACAAAAATAGAACCAAGAAAAACAAAGGATCATTTGATGACATGGTCTGAGCCAGTATCATCAAATAAAATTGACACTATTGTTCAATGCCCAGCATAAGTTGTCACTGCACAAAATGTTGATGGAAGCTTCATACACATTCCTGAGGGTGACGGTGTTTGTTAAAATAAAAATATA